TTGGAGTAGATTTGAAGAGGATGTATTGATTGTCCACGCTTCTAGTATAAACATATTTTTTATAATCCCTTATCAGTCAAATCAGTCTGTTATGACAATGCAGTAGGGCTTCGTAATTCACGCCACGTGTTGGTGAGTGAAAAAACAACAAAACGGTCCGTCGATCGCGACTGCAAATCATTTCAATTAGTAGAGCTATTGTTAACGGGTAATCACAGAGATAGTGTTAGCTAATTACTGCATTGTAATTTGTAAAAAATATCGCCAAACCACGGACTTAGATAATCTAATTCCGTGGCCAAACTGATCTGTGACATGACCTGGTTTGAAGTGACGTAACCCAAGCCGCCATGATGTTTTATGTAAAATATTGCTAAAATGAATTGATGTATGCCGATATGCGCACACGTGTGTGTCATGTGTAATCAGATAATTAAAAGAAAACAAGCAACAAAATACACATTTTACGTAGTTTCTTCTTGGTTTTAAATATCATTTTACATCAATGAAAAAAAATTCATAGAAATAAATTTAAAAAAAAAATATTCGGAGATCGATTTTCGGAGCATGAACATCGTTTTTTTTCCAGATTTTTTGGGTGCGCAAAATATTCGAGTAGAAGCTTTTTTCCAGATTTTCAGCCTCAAAAAGTACCTGCGCAAATTACACAGGTGCGCAAATTACATGGGTTTTTACGGTAACCCTTTTTTCGCCCCGCCCCTCGGCTAGCCCCCTGGGAGGTCAGCCCAACCATTTGTACAATTTTGAATCCCTGCATCCCATGAATGCTTTTGATTAAATATGATCGATATCCAGTGCATAGTTCTAAAGAAGAAGTCGTTTATAGCAATCTAGCCAAATTGACCCCTTTTGACCCTGCCCCTCAGCCCCCTAGGGGGTCAGCCCCACCATTTGTATAATTTTGAATCCCCACCACCTAGGGATGCTTCCAGTCAAATTTAGTTAAATTCCAATCAGTGGTTAAGAAGAAGAAGTCGTTTAAAGAAATTGTTGACGGACGGACGACGGACGCAACATTATGGCATAAGCTCACCTTGGTCCTTCGGACCAGGTGAGCTAATAAATTGAATTTTGATTCTGTTGCAGCAATGTTTCTGTAATTTAGCTCTAATATCTACAATACCCACCTCTACATGAATATGGTATTTTGAGGGCAAATTGATCAAAACAGCAAATATTAGTATAAAGCATACCATATTTACATTGGATAAATACAGATTTTACTGGTGAAGGGTTAAGGCGTGGCTGGGCGAGAGTTTCCAGGAATAAAGCATTTAAAAGGCATAAAACTACCATTTATCCAGGTTTTATCTCGTCACTAGAATGGACATAAAAGTAAGAAGCTGTACCTAGGTTTTACATACTTGTCCATGTTATGTCCACAATGGTTTATGAAATTTAACAAAACAAGAATTCCACGGAAGTGGATGTGTCGCCTGCGCAGGTAGCTGGGAGACTATGAAGAAATAGATACACTTTTCATTTCAAGAAATAATGTTTAAAGTAAGCAATAGTCACAGATTAGGATTTTGATGGCATCATTTTGTTATATAATCTGTTATTCTGGGAAGAATACTCTTGAGTTTTAAGGAACTTGCTATCTATTTATAGTAACAGTGACCTTGACCTTTGACCTTCGGACCTGAAAAGCAATCCCAAGCAAGCACTTTTGGTAAGGAAGCACTGCATGAAGTTTGAGTTTGATTGGCCCAAGGAAACTCAAGTTATCGCACGAAAACAGATTTTCTATTTATAGTAACAGTGACCTTGACCTTTGGACCTGAAAAGCAATCCCAAGCAAGTACTTTATGGTAAGGAAGCACTGCATGAAGTTTGAGAGTTTGATCGGCCCAAGATAACTCAAGTTATCGCACGAAAACCTCTGTGCGGACGCCGCCGCCACCGACATACCTATGTGTCCCCAGCTTTTCGCAGGCGACACAAAAAACACCAAAAGACCAAAAGTTAGATATATCTGAAACAAGGAGGAAATGTTGTTTCACTGTATACCGGCAGTTTAATTTTCGTTTTTTGTGCCCACCGTAGCGAGGGTGAATTTATCATTACAGCGAACAGAAACAAACAACATAACACACATGGTAATTAAATGTGAAGGACAAAACTGATGCCGGGCAAACATAAATTTTACTGGTGAAGGGCCAAAGTTTGACTGGGTGAACATTTCCCGGCATATGGTATGTATTTAGCTAATCAAGGAATCGTTGGTAATTTTACCTTCTTTACGGTCTTCTCCGGTTCTGAATCACTGCTGCTACTCCCCGAGTCACTGGAGTCCGAGCTGCTCGAGTCTGGCTTAGCTGCTGCTGGGGTTTTGACCGGGCTTTTTGTCTTCACTGGTGAAGAAGCCTGAAACAACAAGCAAATTCGTGGAATTCATAAGGACAAGGTTAAGGGTCAGATTGACCTGTGAACTTAGTCTTAAACATGTTAATATGTATGTGCAGACAAATATTTTTAGCAAGAATTCCACGAAAGTGGATGTGTCGCCTGCACAGGAAGCTGGGAGATTGTGCTTAGCACTGCATGAAGTTTGAGTTTAATCGGCCCAAGGAAACTCAAGTTATCGCACGAAAACAGATTTTCTATTTATAGTAACAGTGACCTTGACCTTTGGACCTGAAAAGCAATCCCAAGCAAGCACTTTTGGTAAGGAAGCACTGCATTAAGTTTGAGTTTGATCGGCCCAAGGAAACTCAAGTTATCACACGAAAACCTCTGTGCGGACGATGCCGCCGACATAGCAATACCTATGTGTCACCAGCTTTTTGCAGGCGACACAAAAATAGGACCATGATTAGACCACTTATTGCACAGAAACCAATTAGCCAATCATAATGTGTAAGTGTATTATGCACAAAATATACAAAGATCACATTGACAAGCCGACTTAGTCTTAAAAATGTTAATATGTATGGGCACACCAAATTTTGTTGAAATCAGACCATCATTAGTGTAGTTATTGCACGGAAATTAAAACGTGACTGACGGATGGACAGACGGACAGGCCAAATTGATATCCCTCATTTTCTTCGAAAAGCGGGGCATGAAAAAACAGTATAGAATGATCCCTTATACAGCTTTATAATCTTCCTAACTCCTCTCCAATACTCATACATGGAAGTATTTTTGGATCCTGTGGTTTATTCTTCTGCTGTATTCTAGTTCTACTAATAATTACCAACAAATCAATTGTTCAGTTCTGAGTGATCTATGTTTCTGTAATTTAGCTATAATATCTACAATACCCATCCATACACGAATATGGTATTTTGAGGGCAAATTTATCACAAAAGCAGATATTAGTATACAGAATACCATATTTAGTAATCACTCATGAAGGGGTGAATTTAATGCTGGGTGAGTATAGATTTTACTGGCAAAGGGCAAAAGTTTGGCTGGGCGAAAAGTTTCCATGAATAAAGCACCTCTTTTGGAAACATGATTAATTCTGTTCACAATTATATATGAAAATACAAGTGTTTTTTCCCCAATACAAAACTGCCATTTCTTAGAGACAAATCATGTGAGTCTTGTACTCTTACCTCTTTTGTGACGGGGACAGATGGTGTCCCTTTCTTTCCATGTTTAGCGACCGGCTTTTGCGTTAAAACCTCGTTTTCACTGTCTGATGATGACGACGATGAAGATGATGTTGACTTTCTTTTCGCTACTATTTTTGTTTTTTTGGGTGGTTGTGCAACAGTTTCCTCCTCACTGCTGTCTGAACTAGTTGATGAGGATGAGCTTGATGCCTTTCTTTTCTGTGCCTTTTTAGGTGAAGGAACAGCCTTCTTAGGTGAAGGAACAACCTTCTTAGGTGAAGGAACAACCTTCTTAGATACACTAGGTTTTGTTGGTGATGGAGATTGTTCTTTATCATCCTCAGACAACGAATCCGATGTTGAAGGAGAAGGCAGCACAGGTTTCTTAGATTTACTAGGTGATGACTTCTTGGGCGATTTTATTTTGGTCATCTGTTCCTGGTCGGGTGACGATGTCGGAGACCACTGATAAAAAAATTACACAATGAAAAATAAAGAATGACCAGAGTTGAAATATGTTAGAATTCTAACTTCTGTAAATGTGAACTGTTAAGGATCCTTGTATCACTTCAAAAACTTGAACCTCTTTAACAATGAATTATTAAGGACTCCCTTACCACTGCCAGCAACAGTAACTATGGGCTGGAAACTTTGTTACCAACATGATAATAACTTGAATGAGAATGCATATTGAATTAATTACTTGTTTGTAATTGATTATGTGTTTGTGTTATTTTTTTCAGATTTGGACAGAAGTTATTTACCTTTGTAGCGTTTTTCTTCGCAGAGTTGAGGATTATCTTTGTTGGAACCTGAGTGTCCGGAATAACATCTGACATTTCATCATCCGAGTCCTGGTTATAACAAGGATGGTAAAATATGGGTCATAATGATAAATAATTAGACATTTCACAACCATCACATGTCCCCTTCCACAACACATTGTCTAGTAACGGTACAATACATGTCCCCTTCAACAACACATTGTCTAGTAACGGTACAATACCTGTACCCTTCCACAACACATTGTCTAGTAACGGTACAATACATGTCCCCTTCCACAACAAATTCCCTAGTAACGATACAATATATGTCCCCTACAACAACACAAGATTTGTTTGGTTTGTTCATGTTTTGTGTCTTATTAACAGCTATGGTCATTTAAGAACATGCCAGGGTTTGGTGGTGGAGGAAATCGGGGGGGTACCAAGGGAAAAGTCACAGACCTGCAGCAAGTACCTGTCATTACGAGAATTATATTGATTTGACATTTGCCCTTTGGGGCAGCCTTGTCTTTGGGACCAACACGAGTCTGGTACCATATGTGATAGACCAGTGAATGCTGTTTCATAATTCAATTATGAAGTTCATAAAAACAAGAGGCCCAATGGGCCTGAATAGCTCACCTGGTATCAATCTCACACTTGTAATCTTAAAAGTGGACTAAAATACAGCTACAGGCAGAATATCAGTGTTTGATTCATAAGAACCTATTAAAAGATTTAAACATGATGCCTGTGACCTTGAATGTCGAACAAGGACTTAAGGTTGAACAGAGTTCAAAGTCTTCCAACCGAGCATGCTTCTGGGAAAATATTATTACCCTGGACCTTTTGGTTATACAGAAAGTCATTTAAAGATTTAAACATATATTGACCACAGTGACCTTGAATATGGGCGAAGGTCATTCATTTGAACAAACTTGGTAGCCCTTCATCCAAGCATGTTAATGGCCAAATATCATCACCCTTGGCCTTTTGCTTATTAAGAAGAAATCGTTTAAAGGTTTTTAATCTATTTTACCCCTGTGACCTTGAATATATGTCAAGGTCATTCATTTGAACAAACTTGGTAGCCCTTCCACCCGGCATGTTAATGGCCAAATATCATTATCTTAGTTATTCAGAAGTAGTTTAAAGGTTTTAAACATATTTAACCCCTGTGACCTTGAAAATTTGTCAAACTCATTCATTTTAACAATCTAGGTAGCCCTTCATCCCAGCATGCTACTGGCCATATATCATAACCCTAGGCCTCTTGGTTTTTCAGAAGTTGTTGAAAGGTTTTAAACATATTTGACCCTTGTGACCATGAAAATGGATGAAGGTCAATTATTTGAACAAACTTGGAAGCCCTTCATCTAAGCATGCTACTGGCCTAATATCATCACCCTGGGCATTTTGGTTATTGAGAAGAATATGTTGAAAGTTTTTTTTAACACATTTGACTCATGTGACCTTGAATACTTGTCTTGGTCATTCATTTGAACAAACTTGGTAGCCCTTCATCACATCATGCTACTGGCCAAATAGCATCATCCTAGGCCTCTTGGTTATTCAGAAGTTGTTTATAGGTTTTAAACATATTTGACACCGGACGCCCTTCGGGCCAGGAGAGCTAAAAAAAACAACCAGCCATTGGAAAATTATTGCACCAACATCATTTTATCACAGACTGACTAATAGAGAGACAGACTGGTGAAGGAAAATGGTTCAATATTTGTTGGTGATGGCACTTGCTGATAGGGTATATACTTATGTTATCAAATGTAAACACTCTGTATTACTTACATGGTGATCACCATTTGGGGAGAAGCTGAAAATAAAATTGAAACATGTAAGTTTTCCTAACAAAAGTTCTAAATTGCAACAGAATAAAAATGTCATCAAAATTACCTTCCAGTAGACTAATAGAATATTTACCTACTTTAGAGTGAATACAGAGAAATCTCAAACTAAATGGTAATAATCTTGAAAGAGGTATTTGCTAATTAATAATGAAAAAATTCTTTCATATTTAAAATGTTATTTTACTATTTGCTCAGAGGAAAAATAAAAGTGCAAAACAGTTAGCAAGCTGACAATGCCTAATGGAAATAAACAGTTAGCAGCTGACAATGCCTAATGGAAATAAACAGTTATTAACACAAACTCGCTGTGAAGCTTCTGCAAAGTGCTTTGATTTAAATAAATTTCTGGTATACCATATTTTCACACTCTTTCAAAATATAGAGATAGGGAAATTCTTCCCTCCACTGAAGAATTTTGGCTAAAGACCTGTGCAAAGCCTCAGCTCTGACATAATTCATATAGGCTAAATCTCCACCCTCAGGTAAAATTTCCCTATCCTCATACCTCAGCAAAACCTGGTTCTGACCCCTAATCTCCACCCTCAGGTAAAATTCCCCTATCCTCATACCTCAGCAAAGCCTGGTTCTGACCCCTGATCTCCACCCTCAGGTAAAATTTCCCTATTCTCATACCTAAGCAAAGCCCCAGTTCTGACCCAAAATCTCCACCCTCAGGTAAAATTTCCCTATCCTCATACCTCAGCAAAACCTGGTTCTGACCCCTAATCTCCACCCTCAGGTAAAATTCCCCTATCCTCATACCTCAGCAAAGCCTGGTTCTGACCCCTGATCTCCACCCTCAGGTAAAATTTCCCTATTCTCATACCTAAGCAAAGCCCCAGTTCTGACCCAAAATCTCCACCCTCAGGTAAAATTTCCCTATCCTCATACCTCAGCAAAACCTGGTTCTGACCCCTAATCTCCACCCTCAGGTAAAATTCCCCTATCCTCATACCTCAGCAAAGCCTGGTTCTGACCCCTGATCTCCACCCTCAGGTAAAATTTCCCTATTCTCATACCTAAGCAAAGCCCCAGTTCTGACCCAAAATTTCCACCCTCAGGTAAAATTTCCCTATCCTCATACCTCAGCAAAGCCTGGTTCTGACCCCTGATCTCCACCCTCAGGTAAAATTTCCCTATTCTCATACCTAAGCAAAGCCCCAGTTCTGACCCAAAATTTCCACCCTCAGGTAAAATTTCCCTATCCTCATACCTCAGCAAAGCCTGGTTCTGACCCCTTATCTCCACCCTCAGGTAAAATTTCCCTATTCTCATACCTCAGCTAAGCCTGGTTCTGACCCCTGATCTCCACCCTCAGGTAAAATTTCCCTATTCTCATACCTCAGCAAAGCCTGGTTCTTACCCCTGATAACCACCCTCGGGTAAAATTCCCCTATCCTCATACCTCAGCAAAGCCTGGTTCTGACCCCTGATCTCCACCCTCAGGTAAAATTCCCCTATCCTCACACCTCAGCAAAGCCTGGTTCTGACCCCTGATCTCCATCCTCAGGTAAAATTTACACTAGGTGAATACAGATTTTTTCGGCATAGACTGGGTGAAAGTTTCCTTGTATACAGTAGCTCATAAGTCACCACCTATGTACTTACTCCAACTCTGTCACTCTCTTCTGGTACAATTCTGTTGACTTGACAGCATTTTTCTGTAAAATAAGACACCATAAACGATTTTTAAAATCTTGAGTGCCCAAAAGTTTACTATAGAGCATTAATTAGCTACTTTTCATCTTGTGAACAACCTAGTTATGTACCAATCTACCAAAACATTCCATAGTAAGGAAATTTAACATAACCTCATTTTTCTTAATCAACAATGTTAACAGTACCTTTCCTTTGAGAGAGTTTGAAAAGCCGCTAAACCGAAAAAATGCTGTCTATAAATATCAGTCAGTAACCTTGACCATAAGGCCAAAACAAACAAGAGGCCCAGAGGGCCTGTATAGCTCACCTGGAAAACAAAGCACCCATGGAAAATTGTTATTATTACGTATAATAATACTGCAACTATATCCAAATATTAGCTCGGTCTCCCAGCAACACCCATCCCTCATTAGGTCCCTTCTTTCTGCCCCCATGAATTGGGGTGGATTAACCTCAGTTTCCCCTATTACGCCCGCCCCTCTGCCCCCTAAAAGCAACTATCTATTTATATAAAATGTAGTCCCCTTCGTCCAAGGATGCTTGGTTAAAACCCTCCAAATGGACTGAAGGAAAAGGATTTTAAACATTTATTACCATGTTCCCCCTACTTAACCCTTTCCCTTTGCTCCCAGGGGGACTGCACTCTGTTAAAACAAATTGAGTCCCCCTTGCAAAATGATGCCATTATCCAAAGTATGCTCCAGACCAAATTTGGTTAAAATAACTCCAATGGTAAAGAAGTAAAAGGATTTTGAAGATTTTAACCTCAAATTCCCCTTTAGGTCCCAGCCTCTCTGCACCCAAAGGGACAACACCTTCCATTAAAACAAAATTTAGTCCCGTTTGCCCAAGAATGCTCCAGGCCAAATTTGGATTTTCCAATGGTACAGAAGTAAAAGGATTTTGAAGATTTTAACCTCAAATTCCCATTTTGGGCCCTAGCCCTCTGTATCAAAAGAAGCCACACCCTCCATTTATACACAATTGAGTCCCCTTAGCCCAAGGATGCTCCAGGCGTACATTTGGTCAAAATCAATAAAGAAGTTCAGGACCAGTAGCGTTTTAAAGGAAAAGTTGACGGACGGATGGCGGTCGTATGCTGTGGTAGGGCACAGGCTCACTGTAGTTATTTGACTTTAACAGTGTATATCACTAAATGTCAGGTTAGAGATAATAATCTAAGGTAGGTAGGGTTAGCAGAAACACAAGATTTTTTTTCTTTGGTCTAGCATTCTGAAGCAGAATCTGGTCAGAAGAATTTTTATACTTGAATACTGTAAAAGTGGCAATTTTCACATAAATAAATACTTGTGTGTGGATATTTCAACAAGCTCTTACATAAACACCATCCCCAAGTTAGAATTGTTATACATTCCTACCTTGTTCTGCTCCTTTTTCTTTTCTAATTCTGCGCGCTCGTCTGCCGACAGGTTCTGCACATACAGCCTGTATTTTTTTTCATAATCCATCTTGTCCTATTAGAAAAAAAAATCTTCATTAACTTTTTCACAACACTTTTATAACTTGCTGTATAATCCATCCTTCTCATGAACATTCTATGATTATTTAACATTGTTCGTAGTTACTTCCCCTCAATCACTCAGTTATTTAACATTGTTCATAGTTACTTCCTCTCAATCACTCAGTTATTCAACATTGTTCTAGTATCACTCAGTTATTTAACATTGTTCGTAGTTACTTCCCCTCAATCACTCAGTTATTTAACATTGTTCTAGTATCACTCAAGTTATTTAACATTGTCCGTAGTAACTTCCCCTCAATCACTCAGTTAAAGATCTACAAAGAGTTGATACATACAGTGATTTGTTTTGCTCAGTTTTACTGCCAAATACAGGTTGTTTCCCTAGCTAAAAGTGCCTTATTTCCCCCAAAATGACCAACTTCAAAACAAATAATGCTGTTTTTTCCCCAATTCATATAGGAACAGGCTGTTGTAAAATTAAGGTAACAAATACACTGAAATATAAGGCATTTATCAAAACAAGTTTCTGGTGTCACTTGTTAACCCTGGGAACAGAACCAGAGTAAGAGAATTTTTTGATTACTTGCTTGTTGTCACAACTTTTACGGTTGCTACGTACCTGAAGTGCTTGTTTTTCGTACTCCACCCTCTCAGATAGACTTAATGCTTTCCACTGCTCCATATTCTGTTTCCTTTGCAGTTGTGTTGTCAGATGAGTCAATTGTGAAGCATTTTGTTGTGAAAAAATTTTGAAGGCAGATCTGATAAAACAGAGAAAATACATGAAAAATGTATATTGAAACACGGCAATACACGTCTATTCTCAAAATGTTTTTAATGAATAATTAATAATAGGTTAAATGGGTGGTGATGGTATCGAACATATTTATTGATATTTGATAGTGGACCCCAGGACAAATGAGGGTTATAAAAGAGTCCTCTACCTCTGAGTATTTGTTAAGACACAGAAGTGACTGAAAGATAAGTAACGACTGAAATTCATGTGTAGAACACAGTAAACTCACGACACATTCTTCAAGCTTTTCACAGAAGTCTTTCCAGCACTTGAAATACAAAAAAATATCACAACCGGTATGCTGCTGATGTTGAATTTAGACTACACAACTTAGAAATTCACTTCTCACTTACTGTGGTTTCTCTGGCTTTCCTCTTGCTTTTTCCAAAATTCGCTGTGCATTTCTCATCAATACTACTGAATTCACCTTGTTTTCAGGGTTTTTCTCCAAGTAGATCTTCACCCGTGCCTAGCAAACAAATTCTCATTATTACTTTAGTCTAAGACTCGTGTTTAACATCTTAATTCAACTGAGCAGTTAAAAATCCTAAACAACAGTCAAATAATTAGCTGTTTAAATAAAGAATAATCCAAAACAAAACAAACTTTCAAATTTATTGAAAGTGTTTACAGTAAAGTCTCTACACTTAAATTATGAAGAGAATGTACATGGACTGCAGAATTCTGTGAAAACATGAAATAGTGCACAAGCCATTGTGATTTCACAGGGAGTTATCTAGTATTTCAATTAGTATGAGACATGATACTTGGTCCGGGCCACGAAATGAAAGTTTGTATGGATTGTGGCTAAAATCTGCTTAACCACTCCTGAGTAGAATTAAGAAATGTCTCAGCCTCCTAGAGGCCTTGATGGCCATCCCCTGTCAAACTAACACGTTCTCCATGACACGACTCCTTTTCCTGAGTAAGCTTTTTCTAAACTACATGTATTATAAACTATTATTATTTTAAATCGAAAATATCACGACAAACCCCGTACCTTTTTATATACTATTACAAAATATTACTATTTTAATCTGAACATTTCACAGAAACCCCTACCACGTTTAATATCCATTTCCAGGTCTTCAAGAAGCAATGTAGGACATTCCGAAATGTAAATTATAGAAACATCAAACCAGAGGTACCAGTAAATGTCACAAAAACCTACAGACAGAAATCAGCAATTCTTCAACAGCCCAATGAGTAATCAAAGATCTGCTAACAAACATATACTGCTACTTACCTTTGTTAATCTGACATCCTGTGGATTCTACAGCACAACCTGTCTTATCTGACCTAACAAAACGTTTGGGTTCTACAGGGTGTCGAGGCACACAAAAAAACATTTACCTCTAAATCCTTGTTAGCAAGAACTGCTTCTTCCAACCACTTCTGCTGTTTTTTAGGTTTCAGTGAGGCAAATTTTACTTTCCCATGATTTCGTATTTCTGTTCTGTCTGCCTGTAATTATAGACAAAACACAAGATCACAAAAAACATTGAACATCTCTACTTTTTATTTAATTATTTGGAAGAGCATCAGAAATGACTAAACAACAACAGTTCATAAAAAACATTGAACATATCTCCTTTTATTTCCATAAACCTAAGGTCATGAGGAGTGCTATAAAGTGTGCTCATTAAAATGACCTTGACCTACTTTCAAGGTCACAGGGGTCAAATATGTTAAAAACTTCAAACAACAATATCCTAAGAACCATTTGGACTAGAGTCATGATACTTGGGTATGTTATGAAGACCAGCTGTGTGAATTGTTTTCTTTATTACAGTAATGAAGTCAAAGGTCAACTTTAAGTGCAAGTCGGGAGTCAAAGGTCAATATGGGTTAAAAGGGTCAAAATTAAAATTTCAAGTTCCAAACAACAATATCTTCAGAATCGTTTAAGAGATGTTAAATGTCATGTGTCCTAATTACCAAATTTGGTCTTAAGTTACCTTTATGTCAGTTTCATGTAACAAAACAATCAGGTGAGCGATACAGGCCCTCTGGGCCTCTTGTTATAAATTTATTACAAGAACAAGAAAATCAGCTTGAGCACAAAATCCATGCTTGAGCATGAGAACACAACAGTTTCAAGAATAAGGGCCATGAATTTCACCACTTTTAATTAATTAAAGAGTATACTTATACAACCTAGAATTTCAGAATTTTGTATGGCCTAAATAAATGAGACAGACATCAAACTTGTGAATACTGTATACAGGGAAAAGTTTCGCCCCGTCAAATTTCGCCTTCACATTTAATTACAAAGCAGACAATGTTGTTTACTAACGTCTAATGTTCGCTTTATTGATACATTCACCCTCATTACAGCGAAAAAGGCAAAAATTAAATTGCAGCGAAAATGTCCCTGTACAGTGTATACAGTATGTAGAGAGGGTAAGGAATGTTGGCTATTTATCTGTATTAAAATATTGTTGCACAAAATTACAACTCGGTCCATTTGTTCCAGGACCAAAACCACAAATTAACAAGAGGCCCATGGGCCTTAACGGTCACCTGAGTCTACAGTATTTATTTTTGTTGTTGAAATATGTACCAATTTGAGTAAAAAATAGTATAATGTTAACGTAACTTTGTCAGGACCATGAGCTGATCATTCCTACAAACTTTCAGTTCAATCTGCCCAGCAGAACTTGACTTTAAGTTTGAAATGTAAAATGTTAACGGACGACGGACGACGGACGACGGACGACGACGGACGAAAACGGATAGCAATAGGTCACTTGAGCTAAAGCTCAGGTGACCTAAAAATTAAATCTCGGGGAAACATTATGGCACTACAGCTGCAGCATCACTTAAGTAACTCCAACCAAAGGAGACAGTAAGCGTAATATTGTAACGAATCAACAATAGATGTTCAAACATTCAAACAGGTTTTCATAAGACTTGTACACATTTTACAAATTAAGTGTATTCAAGATCAGTTGTATGTCCTATCACTAAAGGGTGAAATTATTTTTACATCTTCAGTTTCTTTAAAAGGAGTTGTAAAGCCAAAATATTGCCATCCGTCAAAATTATTTTACAAATATTTCAAAAAGCAATTTTAACACCCGCATTTCAAAGGGGCATCTAGAAACACCTTCTCATACTTTTCTCTAATCACAATACTTAGTCGTATATGCTTCCATGCATGAGGAGAATTCAATGAAGTGAACCACTTAGAAAAATATAGAAAGGATATGAACTTACATCTTTATTTTCCGCTAATGCCTTCTCCATCAAGTGATCTACATAAAGTGTGAGGGGGTAGACCACCTTCGGAACCTTGTCCGCGACCTTTCTCAGTGTATATGTCTTGACAGGATACATATCAGGATTTTTCAATCTGGAGAAAATGCAGATATTTCATTTAAGCCAACACCTGTTTGATGTTCAGATACGGATGACACTCTGTTTTAAGTAGACCCCATTTGCTTTATTGTCAGAAATGTAATTATGCATACATTAAAAAATAAACTTATCTCAGTTTTCGCAATCATCAGTTTCTGGATAGCTCCTTCCTTTTAGACAAAATCTTGGAAGGCCATTTTGAGAACAAGTTGAGTACTTCTTATTAAATTGACTGTCAAGTTTAAACTCAGGATAGATTTGGATCATGTTTTTTTTTATACAAGTCATACAAAGAAGGGACACTTTCTTTGATGTTTGGATAACATTTAAAACTAATTTGAACTGGACAATTGGAACAAAAATGAAGGTCAAAGGGAAAACAATATCAATCCGCATTCTACATATGGTTTGAATAAGAGGCACTAAAAGCCTGTATTTCTCACCTGGTAATTTAGTAAAAATGAAAATACAGAAAATTTTGAACCCTGTACCCTTTCAGTTGGCACAGTCTATCCGGCCCCTGTGGGGGTCATTAACTTAATTTGTTCACTTTTTTATCCATTCGCCTCAGAATGCTTTCAATCAAATTTTGCTGAAATCTGACAGGCAATTTGTGAGCAGATGCGAATTAAAACATGTTCTTGGTTAAAAGCCACTTTTGACACAGCCACGTGCACCCTGGACCATGGAGGTCGGCAAATATATCTTTACAGTTTGAACTCCCACCCACTAATAGTGCTCTGACAAACTTTCTGGTTGAAATCTGCCGCATAATTTGGAAGATGTTTAAACCAATTTTTGACAGATGACAGATGAAAGATACTGTAGTTGGTGTATGCTCCCCAAAGCCCTTCAGACAGGTGAGCTAAAAACTTACTTGAATTCTGCCATTTGTTTTTCGTACTGTACTCTTTGTTCTTCGTATTGGCTTTCAAATTTTTTCTGCAACACAAAGACAATACATTGTAAACAAATTTAACTAGAACACTGACAGGTCAGTAAGGACCCCGTCTTGTGGCAACATATCCCCCATAATCATCAAGAAGCAATCTGCCCATATAGCTGAGCTTGACGTTTGATATGTGGACTTCAAAAAGAATCGCAAGGAAGCAAAATATACATTTTACATGTACTATGATGTGAGTCTTGTTTCCTTCCACCTCCATATTTGCTGGACTAACAGAAATGTAAATACCGGTGCAATACTCATTTGTTAGCTTTGATTTGTTTTATTTAACTTTATATACCTCCTCCATCAAGAGCCAGGGTCAAAGTCAGAGATCCACTTTGTCTTTGACCTTTGGACCCAAATGACCTTGACCATTAACCCAGTGACCCTGATCTTTGGTCAGTTGACTTATTCTTTAATTCCGACCAACTTTGCTCCTTAATATCATAACAAAATGTTCATCAGTGAAAATACAAAACTTGACCTTGACCCTTTGAAACCCGTAACCTGGACCTAAGGTCAGTTGACTCTGTGTTAAGTTCTGAACAACATTGCTTCATAATGTCATAACAAAATGTTCATCAAGGAAAAGGTACAAAATTTAACCTTCACCTTTGACCCAGTGACCTTGACCTTTGGTCAATTGACTCCTTGTTTAATTCTGAGCAACATTGCTTCAAAGTGTCATAGCGAAATGTTCACCAGTGAAAAGATACAAAATTTAACCTTGACCTTTGACCCAATGACCTTGACCTTTGGTCAGTTGACCCCTTGTTTAATTCTGATCAAATTTGCTTCATCATGTCATAGCAAAATGTTCATCAGTGAAAAGGTGCAAAATTTGACCTTGACCCCTGACCCGGTGACCTTGACCTTTGGTCAGTTGACTCCTTCTTTAATTCTGATCAACTTTGCTTCATAATGTCATAACAAAATGTTCATCAGTGAAAAGATGTAAAATTTGACCTTGACCTTTGAACCTAACGACCTTGACCTTTGACCTCGACTTTTTACCTCAGTGTGTCTCTTTGTTTAATTTCGAACAACTTTGCTCCCTAATGTCATAGCGAAATGTTCACCAGTGAAAAGCTACAAAATTTGACCTTGACCCCTGACCCGATGACCTTGACCTTTGGTCAGTTGACTCCTTGTTTAATTCTGATCAACTTTACTTCATATTGTCATAACAAAATGTTCATCAGTGAAAAGATGTAAAATTTGACCTTGACCTTTGAACCAAATGACCTTGACTTTTTACCTCAATGTGAATTTTTGTGAACTAAACATCTTGACCAAGTTTCATGTACATCGGTCAATAAATACCAAAGTTATTAGCCAGGAACAAAATTTGTGGACGGACGGACAGACAGACATACATACAGACAGACAGACAGAGTGATTACTATAGGGCATCAGTATCTCCGATACAGGCCCTAACTAGCATGACAGAGGAACCTTTCTTAATTTGTTATCAACAACAATAGGCTCAGTCTAAATAATTCTCATGATATGTTTATAAAAAAAACTCTAACTCATTGACATTAGCATCTGTGTTGATATTATAGTTTGTCTTGACATTGTATAGGCTCTGTGTTGATATTATAGTCTGTGTTGATATTATAGTTTGTCTTGACATTATATAGGCTGTGTGTTGATATTATAGTTTGTCTTGACATTATATAGGCTGTGTGTTGATATTATAGTCTGTGTTGACATTGTATAGGCTCTGTGTTGATATTATAGTTTGTGTTGATATATAGGCTCTGTGTTAATATTATAGTCTGTGTTGATATTATAGTTTGTCTCGACATTATATAGGCTGTGTGCTGATATTATAGTTTGTCTTGACATTATTTAGGCTGTGTGTTGATATTATAGTCTGTGTTGACATTGTATAGGCTCTGTGTTGATATTATAGTCTGTGTTGATATTATAGTCTGTGTTGGTATTATAGTCTGTGTTGATATTATAGTCTGTGTTGGTATTATAGTCTGTGTTGATATTATAGTCTGTGTTGATCTTATAGTCTGTGTTGATATTATAGTCTGTGTTGTTATTATAGTTTGTGTTGATATTATATAGGCTCTGTGTTGATATTATAGTCTGTGTTGATATATAGGCTGTGTTAATATGATAGTCTGTGTTGACATTGTATAGCCTCTGTGTTAATATTATAGTCTGTCTTTACATTGTATAGGCTCTGTGTTAATATTATATCTGTGTTGACACTGTAATGTTCTGTGTTGATATTTTGTTTATGTTGATATTATAGTCTGTGTTGATATTATAGACTGTGTTGATATTATAGTCTGTGTTGATATTATAGTTGGTCTCGACATTATATAGGCTGTGTGTTGATATTATAGTTTGTGTTGATACATAGGCTCTGTGTTAATATTATAGTCTGTGTTGATATTATAGTCTGTGCTGATATTATAGTCTGTGTTGATATTATAGTGTGTGTTGATATTATATAGGCTCTGTGTTGATATTATAGTTTGTGTTGACATTGTATAGGCTCTGTGTTGATATTATAGTCTGTGTTGATATATAGGCTGTGTTAATATTATAGTCTGTGTTGACATTGTATAGCCTCTGTGTTAATATTATAGTCTGTCTTGACATTGTATAGGCTCTGTGTTAATATTATATCTGTGTTGACACTGTAATGTTCTGTGTTGATATTTTGTTTATGTTGATATTATAGTCTGTGTTGATATTATAGAGTCTGTGTTGACATTGTACAGGCTCTGTGTTGATATTATAGTCTGTGTTGACATTTTATAGGCTCTGTGTTGATATTATAGTCTGTGTTGATATTATAGTCTGTGTTGATATTATAGTCTGTGTTGATACTATAGTCTGTGTTGATATTATAGTCTGTGTTGATATTATAGGCTCTGTGTTGATATTATAGTTTGTCTTGACGTTGTATAGGCTCTGTGTTGATATTAAAGTCTGTCTTTATATTATATAGGCTCTGTGTTAATATTATAGTCTGTGTTGACATTGCATAGGCTCTGTGTTGATATTAAAGTCTGTGTTGACATTGTATAGGCTCTGTGTTGATATTATAGTCTGTGTTGATATTATAGGCTCTGTGTTGATATTATAGTTTGTATTGACATTGTAAAGGCTCTGTGTTGATAGTATAGTTTGTCTTGACATTGTATAGGCTCTGTGTTAATATTATAGTCTGTGTTGATATTATATAGGCTCTGTGTTGATATTATAGTCTGTGTTGATATTATAGTCTGTGTTGATATTGTATAGGCTCTGTGTTGATATTATAGTCTGTGTTGATATTATAGTTTGTCTTGACATTATATAGGCTCTGTGTTGATATTAAATAGGCTCTGTGTTGATATTGTATAGGCTCTGTGTTGATATTATAGTCTGGGTTGATATTATAGTCTGTGTTGATATTATAGTTTGTCTTGACATTATATAGACTCTGTGTTAATATTATAGTCTGTGTTGATATAATAGTCTGTGTTGATATTATAGTCTGTGTTGATATTATAGTCTGTCTTGATATTATAGTCTGTGTTGATATTATATAGAATCTGTGTTGATATTGTATAGGCTCTGTGTTGATATTATAGTCTGTGTTGATATTATAGTCTGTGTTGATATTATAGTCTGTGTTGATATTAAAGTCTGTCTTGATATTATAGTCTGTGTTGATATTATAGTCTGTGTTGATATTATATAGGCTCTGTTTTGATATTATAGTCTGTGTTGATATTATAGTCTGGGTTGACATTTTATAGGCTCTGTATTGATATTATAGTCTGTGTTGATATTATAGTTTGTCTTGACATTGTAGAGTCTCTTTGTTGATATTATAGTCTGTGTTGATATATAGGCTGTGTTAATATTATAGTCTGTGTTGAGTCTGTGTTGATATTATATAGGCTCTGTGTTGATATTATAGTTTGTGATGATATTATAGTCTGGGTTGACATTTTATAGGCTCTGTGTTGATATTATAGTTTGTGTTGACTTTGTATAGGCTCTGTGTTACTATTATAGTCTGTGTTGATATTATATAGGCTCTGTGATGATATTATAGTCTGTTTTGATATTATAGTCTGTGTTGACATTTTATAGGCTCTGTGTTGATATTATAGTCTGTGTTGATATT